TCCACCACGCTACTGTTATAAGCATGAGCCCCGTCAGACTGGTCGTGGCGGTGGTGTTGCAACAATATATAGTGATATTCTCAATGTTACCCAGAAAACAGGATACAGGTTTAACTCATTTGAAATACTTCAACTTGTTACACTGTCGGATATGCAAAGTAATCTCTCCTATCTCTTGCTCTGGCTACTGTGTACAGACCAGCAGGGCCGTATACAGATTTCCTAAAAGAATTTGCAGATTTCCTCTCAGACCTATTGGTTAATGTTGATAAAGCGCTAATTGTCAGAGACGTTAACATTCATGTTGATAATATAAATGATGCGTTAGGACTTGTGTTTACTGACTTAATTAACTCTTTTGGAGTCAAGCAAAACATAACCAGACCCACTCATAGTTTTAATCATACACTATATTTAATTATATCGCATGGAATTGATCTTAATGATATAGATATAGTACCTCAAAGTGACGATCATACTGACCACTACCTTGTATCGTGCATGCTGCCTACTAATATTAACTATATGGCTCCGCACTATATTTAATTATATCGCATGGAATTGATCTTAATGATATAGATATAGTACCTCAAAGTGACGATGATACTGACCACTACCTTGTATCGTGCATGCTGCCTACTAATATTAACTATATGGCTCCGTGTTATCGGCCAGGTAGAACTATTGTTCCAACCACCAAATATAGATTCACAAATAACCTGCCTGATTTATCTCAACTGCTCTGTGTACCCATTAATACACATGAACTAGACGAAGTGACTAGCAATATGGGCACTATCTTCTCTAATACATTAGAAGCTGTTGCCCCCGTTAAATTAAAAAAAGGTTAGAGAAAACGTACTGTGCCATGGTACAACAGCAATACCCATTCTCTCAAGAAAGAAACTCGTAATCTTGAATGCAAATGGAGATAAACTAACTTGGAAGTTTTTAGAATGGAATTTAGAATTTGCATGGAAAAACAGTATGTACAGCTATAGACAGGCTCTAAAAGCTGCCAGGGCTGAGCATTTCCGCAAACTCATAAAAATAACCAAAACAATCCAAGGTTTTTATTTAGCACAGTGGCTAGATTAACAAATAAACATCACCCAAACTAAATATTCCCTCACAGTTTAGTAGTGATGACTTTATGAATTTCTTAACTGATAAAATAGATAGCATCAGAAATACAATACACCCAAAGAAAAACTGCAGTGCTTTACAACTATAGAACAGGAAGATATATAATATATAATATAATAATATATATTATTAACTCGTCGTTATTTTCCGTTTATGTCTAAAATTTTAGAAAAAGTGGTGTCTGCTCAATTGTGCTCCTTCCTGCAAAAAAGCTATATCTATGAAGAATTTCAGTCGGGTTTCAGGCCCCATCATAGCAGAGAAACTGCACTTGTTAAAATTACAAATTTCTTGCTTCTTGCGTCAGACCAAGGCTGCAAATCATTGCTAGTTTTACTTGACCTTACCTATTAAGTCCCATATTTTTATCAATCTAACGTAGAAACGAGCGCAGATCCGTGCGCACAAATCAACTTATGACAGAGTTCACCTGTGATTCATGAAACATTCATATGCCACCAATCTCATTGAACGAATGATCGCACGTTGATAAATGTGGCGGCAGAAAACAATCGTCATTTGAATATCACGCCCCTAAAAACACCGGGGTTTAGAAGCCTTGCCCTAGACTTTACGACAAGGAGAAACGAAACCTGGCCAAAAAGAGGAAGTAATCTCATGAAAGAGAAATTGATCTTACCTCAAAAACACCCATTAACCTTGTAATTGCAAACAATTAGGCTACATAATTTATATGTATATTAAAATATGGTAAATATAAACATTATAGCCTATTTCCCTAACTCTACAACAAATATTTTAAATGTAACGGTGTTCAGAACAAAACAAGAATTAAAAATATGTAGTTATAAAATTATATATTAAACTATAAAATAAAACACAAATTAGGCTCTAGTGGCAAACAGCATACAAAACCTAAACAAGGTTTTATACTTCAATCATGTTCTAATAGCCGTGTAAAATTCTTCACATGCGCGGACATGTTTCTTTGGGCGCTGCACGCTGATTTTACAGCGGACCTTTTAAAATAAACAGTGTAACTTTTATGTTTGGTTGAATGCATTTTAGTTTGATGATGAATGGCTGAAATGTCAGGCAACGCTCTAGCGTTAGTTAAACTAATTAACTAATTAACATTAGTTAAACTAATGTTAAACTAATGTTGTTTGTGTGTGCGTGAGACGCCTGTGCGATCAGATGGATTAAATCAAATAAAGATATAAAGAAAATAAATAAAAATGCATTAAAGAGCAGGTCATATGGGTTTTTGAAAAATATCTGTAAGTACGATTGAAACGTTATGTGTACATTTTCAATTGAGTGCTAAAAATATCAAGTTTTTGTGCTAATATGTGATGAATACCTAGTGCAGCTTTAGGTTTCCAGGTAAAGCACGATATTACTGTCTTACTGAAGTAGTTCTCATAATTCGCTGTGAACCCACTATTTTAGACATATTTTGGTTTACAAATTGTATTGTTTCATCAGTTAGTCACGTTAGCACTTGGCTAAGTGTTCACAGTTTAGCAGCTAAACTTTAGCTGTAGGCATGATTCGCTTGCATAAGTGTTTTTGTATTTTATGTCATTATAAGAACGGATTGGAGCACTATATTATTGTTTTATGTAAAGGTGCTTTGTCAATGGTAGCGCTCGCTAACTTGCGCAAGGACTCCTCTCTGTGCCAATCACAGTAGGCTTGGCCAGCTGACCAATCAGAGCAGAGTAGGCTTATGGAAGGGAGGGGTTTGCTCCGAACTTGCTTGGAACGAATTGTTTTGAAATCATTGGCAAATGACTCTAATATTAAATGTATATTCCGAAAAAATTACAATGTTTTCTGACCTTAGATGCATTTAAACCTGTTGTAGGGGACTCCAACACAATATTAGGACACTTTAAAATACCATATGACCTGCTCTTTAAGAGTGTCACAAAAACAAGCGTAGCCTATACTTGTTGCACAGTTTTTTTCCCCCCCTTTCGTTAATCTGTTAATTATATTATAGCCTATTATATATTTTGTGTGGTCCTATTTATTTTATTCCTTTTATAGACTTAATTTATGTTTTTCTCCGTTCACAGAAGCGCTGCAGGTGTGTGATGTGACGATGTGTGAATCATCTGTTGTTTACGCTGCTATTTGCGCATATAAAGCCCTGTATTAAAAAAAAAAAAAAAAAGACATTCTAATCTTACTGGTTAACGATCGACTAATGAGCTTTGGTTGACGGTCAGGAAAATAACCGAAATGAACAAAATTCTGTCATTCTACAATTCTCCATGAGATGCTGTGCGCAAGTTCAGGTAACTCAAAACTCAACATATTGATAAATTCCAAGTTTTGCGTTGAAACAACCGTATGCCCAATTTTCGTACGTTCATTTTGTAAATGAGGCCCACTCTCTCTGTTTAAATCTAGATTAAAGAGATATCACTTTAGCCAAGCATTCATATAATGTATCTCATAACCTTGTACTTCAGTTACATCTGATCAAATGCACATTTTCATTCTTTTGCTTGGGTTGAACACATCATTTTTTGCTTGATTGGAACAGCAGCTATGCTAATTTCTCTCTATTCCCTTCTCTATTTCTGCCACAGGATTGGCATCCCGTAGTAACTAGGAATTACAGAAGCTTCAGTCTGGATCCAACCCTTACAAAGACCTAAGATAACCGAACACCTGAGAAGAGATGATGCCAACCCCCCAGAAGACCTCAGATGATGCCAACCCTCAGACAACATACAAAACTTCCAAATTGTGCTGTAAGTTTGATCGCAACATATAATAATTGCTGTTAATAGTGTTCACCGTCTGTTTGATTACATGACATTAACTAATTGCTTGATTTTTACCGTACATTTCTGCCATATGGACATCAACTTGAGACAGTCACCACTGATAAGCTATTACTAAATATAATGTAGAAACGTTAATTTCTGTAAAGCTGCTTTGCAATGATTTGCATCGTGAAAAGTGCTATACAAATAAACTTGAATTGAATTGAATTGAATGAGCCAATCAATCAATCGATCAATAAAAACTGCATAAACAAAACCCAACAACAGAGAATTTAAAACAGCTCAAGCAGACTAAAAGGAAAACTAGATGATTTACTTGCTGAGAAAGTTGAGAGGTATCTAAGAATCTTGAAGTCCTGAAGCAACAATTTTATGAACATGGGATTTTATGAACACTATATACAGACATTATTATTCTTTAGCTTGGGTTAAACAAATCAATTTTGCTTGGTTGGAACAGCAGCTACGCTAATTATGCCTCTATTTGTTCCTCTGTTTTTACACAAGCTTCAGTCTGGATCCAGAACACCTGAGAAGAGATGATGCCAACCCTCAGACAACATACAAAACTACCAAATTTTGCTATAAGTTTGATCGCAACATATAATCATTGCTGTTAATAGTGTTCACCATCTGTTTGATTACAGGACATTAACTAACTGCTTGATTTTTACCTACATTTCTGCCATATGGACATCACCTTGAGATAGTCACCACTGATAAGCTATTACTAAATATAATGTAGAAACATTATATAATGTTTCTGTAAAGCTGCTTTGCAATGATTTGCATCGTGAAAAGTGCTATACAAATAAACTTGAATTGAATTGAATTGAATGAGCCAATCAATCAATCGATCAATAAAAACTGCATAAACAAAACCCAACAACAGAGAATTTAAAACAGCTCAAGCAGACTAAAAGGAAAACTAGATGATTTACTTGCTGAGAAAGTTGAGAGGTATCTAAGAATCTTGAAGTCCTGAAGCAACAATTTTATGAACATGGGATTTTATGAACACTATATACAGAGGAGACAGGGATGTCCCCCATCCAAGTTATAGTCTGTAATGAGTATAGAGCCCCTGGCTCAGCATACTACAGACAAAAAAAAGGTGATGTGACTTAAAGGGACAACTTTATATATATATATATATATATATATAGTCTGAAACGGGCTTAAGTTGTCCCTTTAAGTCACATCACCTATATTTATATAGTGCTTTTAACAATAAAGATTGTGTCAAAGCAGCTTTACAGTTTTAAATAGGAAAATAGTGTGTAATAATGCAAAAGGACAATAGTAAACACTCAATCTTCAGTTAAACGCAGTTCATCATTGATTCAGTGATGTCATCATCCAGCTCAGTTCAGTTTAAATAGTATCTGTGCAATCAAGTCGAG